GATTGTTTCTGGATGACGTGTCTTTCCAATAAGCATTTCAACATTCTTGGCAATAGACGGGGCATTTAATGTCTTATTATCCATTTTTCATCGCGTTTACTCAGAACTTTATTTAAGGCTTTTCGTTAATATAACGCTGAATTATTAAAATGTGTGGACCCATATCGTTAAACAATGCAATCAAAACTAATTTCTTGATTTTTAATTGTGAATATTCTCTGTAAAATAATCAGTTTTGCATTTGTCAAGTACCATTAGTTTCAAAGTTCTATTATTTGCACGATTTGGAGAAGCAAAAATAATACACGAAATAAGCTGTGAGGTCAGAATTTGATGTATGCTTGATTTGGTTCACTTAACTTCAATGATGCATATTTAAATTTTTTCGTTTTGAATAAAATTTTGGATTTTCACAACTAAATCTGCAAATATATTGCTGTGAGCCACTGTATATCATACACAGTAGAAGTGTAATATAAGAAATACCCAATTTAATGAATGTCTAATTTAACGAAGGATAAAATTCTGTCATTGACTGCTCATTGTTATATAGAAAAGTCAATGATTTAACGAATATTGAAGAAAAATATTATTTCCATGCGAGATAATAATATAACTGATCTTATATATAATCATGTTACAATATTACCCATATGGTACAAGTATATTAAGTTTATATTCATTATACTTAGTATCAGTTCAACAATTTATAAAAATTATTAAATTTATATCCATATAGCGTTGAAGTATTTTTCTTTATAAAACTAATGAGCAGACTCTGAGCAAGTATACTCTAATACAACCAATATTTATTTTGATGAATGTTTAGTTTAAAGAACAAAAATATTCTATCATTAACTACTCATTTGTTATATAGAATAGTCAATGATTTAACGAATATGGAAGAAAATGTGATTTGTCAAAGCACAAAGACTGCAATGAGCAACTCATGTTATAAGAATGGGACCTGAAAGAAATCTTGCCAATATATTTAATGCTAATTCAATGACAACAAGGCATAGAGGCAGACCAAAGCTGAGATGGAAGGAAAACGTGAACGAGGACGCCAGAAACCTCGGGGTTCTGAATTGAAAAAGAACTGCATAATATCGAAACAGATGGAGGCAGGTTGTGAAGGAGGCCAAGGTACACACTGGACTGTATTGCCAAATAAGTAGAAGAATAAATAAATAATGTTAAAATTTGTTTAGTTTGAGCTCTCTTTCTTCGACTCATCTCTTACATATTCTTTCAACCTCTTCTTTCCCATTCCATCTCAGGTATATATCTTGAAATTCAGTCACGGTTCTGCTTTTGAATCATAACAACAACTGCAAAGATTACATAAAGAAGAAATTAATGCGTGTACGGTACTCCTTTAAATGAACTACTTTAATGAACTAGTTCAGTAACGAACTACGCAAAATTTAAAAATCAATTTTATTCAGATATAAACAGAACTAAATCGATATACATAATGCCACACACTATAGTCGTTAAAACGTTTACATTTACTTGTGATCTTAATAGACCACTTTCACGAAGTAATTAGTGAGCCTATAAGATCCAATGTACGCTCCTAACAAATGTGCTTTTATAATTTTTTAGTTTTAATTATTATTGCAGAATTTTCATTTAAAATGTTTCAGTTAGGAAATCACAGATTTACACCTGATAATGTATATATTTTTTGTTTCTGATATTATTTTTCCCTTATTTATTTTGAAAGGAAATTTCTATTGAGTTCGATAATAAATTCTGAAGATAAAGAAAAAAATATTGCGTGCAGCGCCACTTTTGGTCATTTTATTTTGTTTTTGTGTTTGTGTTTACTATTGTTGTTGTTGTTGTCAATGTGTTGTTGTTTTGTGTTGATAGTGACGTCGACATTTTGGGAATTTAATTTGGATTCAATGTGTTTCTTGTTGTTATTGTTGTGCTGTTTTATTACGGTTGTAATTGTCGTTGTCGTGGTTGTTGTTATTATTGTTGTTGTTGTTAACTAAATGAAAATGATGGCACAGCGTTAACTCACAGCAGCGACACAACAACAATAGTATTATATTTGTAATTTATTTGATTTCATTAATACATCCAAGGAATTTATGATGAAAGTACCAATTTACTGAATTTGTAATGAAATTAAATATATTAATTTCGTGTGCACAAGTGTGTTTAGGGGGAGAATGGAAGGAGAGTCATGTCAGCGTGTAGTCATAGTTACAGCCGCTTGTTGCTTCATAGCAGGGAGTGTCACCAACAAGCCTCGATCAATAAAGCAGATAATTAAATCCACGATGACTGACAACTAAACCAAATTCGTTTGTAAAGGTGGCTAAGTGACTGAAACAGAGTCTAACTGACTGAATGCCTATTCGATTAATTGGCCGGATCGACTGACAAGTCTGATTAATGCATGCACTGACACAACCAATAAAATTTCTTTACTTTCACTCCACCACTGCACAATGTTTAGACTTCATGAAATACAACTTAATATACAACATATTATTATTGTTTTTACTTTAGTTTATTTTTATAATTTAAGAATCTCAATTTCGTTGCATTCATTATTTCTGTTTACTTGCACTTCGAATTGGAGTTTTGTTTTTAATTCCCACACAATTTCTTTAGTTATATTTTGTATGCATAAACATACAATATTGTAATAAAATGCGTTGGTTTATCTTTTTTTTTTTTTGTTTATTAAATAAACGATTTGTTGTTTTTACCTGGCGTCGCAAATTCACTTCGCCCCGCGGAGGATCCCTTTGAAATCGCACCGTAAGACCTATTGTCCATTGCACTTATCATCGTAGCAGATTTTATCCTTTGTCACACGCACAATACACTTAACTTCAACAATTTTAATTATGCATTTTTAGTTTTTTCTTAATGTATACTTTGTTCTATGAAATTTGTTTGTATCTTTTTATACACAAAACGACTTAACAACTAAATTGTATTATTAATTATGTAGGAAACATACAAAACTTAGAGAATGGCTCTCTGTTTCTTTACTATGCGTCAAATTCCATTGTAAGTGGAATAAATTCCCTAAGTCATTCCAAATTTCCCATCAAGTGTCATAGCGAAGTGTGCGCATATTGTGGATATTATTTGGAAGTTCATTTAAATTTTCAATATATATGTTATATGTATAATAAAGTAGTAATGTACACATTTATAAACATTTTTAAATGTACATTTATTTTATTTAAACGAAACTAAAAAATTTTACTTACTAGTACAGCGTTTATAATTCCAACAAACATTCATAGCAATAAATGGCATAATACGATAGAAAATATATGAACTCAATGGTAAACATGTCAGAAGTGTGGTATAAGTTTATGAAATACCTATATATCGTTTTCAACATGTCTTTTTTATTATTTGTAAAAAAATCATTCAATTAAAAGTATCTATGTGGTACAATGTTTGGGAATCTAATTATTTAGATGACACCTTAGATTCAAAATCATATACAAGCAAGTAAGAGTCCTTTAATAACTAATGATAATAGAAATAGACCAAATACTAACATCTCCGTAAATAAAATTCCAAATCATTATTGAATAGAGATAAATATATTTCAAATATAATAAAAAAGTGGAAAACTTATTTCACTATGATAATGTAATTCTACTTGTAAACCATATCCACAGAGTTTCAAACGGTGGAATACTGAAATAGATGTTAGAATAGCACATAATTGCAGAGAACAAAGATATAGAAAAGCATCTGGGAATCATTGCTATGCATCACTACCATTAAATAAAAAACTGAAGCATGCCGTTGACGATGCTACATGTATGCAAACCAAGTATGCCGTGCTACTGAAGCGCACTGTGTGTATTCAAGTATGCGGTAAATTTACACCTAATGTCAAAGTGTGTAACAAAGCGCATACTTGTTATGCATACATGTAGCATCGTCTATATAAGGACTGTCCAAAGCACGGCCCGTGGCTAATGTTTGGGCGACCTGCGAAATGTTTTCATTCTGCCACAATTACGCAAATTTTCTTTTGGTGTGCTGGTAAAACTACATTATTTTATTTTTATGATATACCTAATAAATGAATTTAAATTGATAAATTAATAAAGTTAAATTTAACATAAACGTATGCAATTGTTTCTGCGGCCCTCCAATCTATATAGTGATTTGTATTGGCCCGCGATTGCATTTGGTCTATACAGCCCCAGTCTATATCATGCTTAAGGTACACGTAAAGCTATAATAAACACTAATTATTATAAAGAAACTTTAATATAAATATATATTTATGAATATATTTAGATATACTTCCCTTGCTGTAGTTTTGTTGTTTCTCTCCACTGTTTGCCGTGACAAGCTGGGTTTGCAACTTGTCAAGAGCGGCATAAGCCGAACGCAAGAAAATTTTATGTCCTAGAAATGTTTGGTTAGGTAAAACAAAAGCAAATTTAGAGTATATATCAATTAGTGGAATGATGTATGTCAAACACCTTATTTGTTATTATAGGCAATGTAATAAGGTTTTTAGTTAATGGATAGAACACTAAAACTTTTTGAGAAAACTTATTTTATAATTGGTTTAATTTTAGTTCGTTATAATAAACTTGTTTTTGGATGGGAATAAAAGCGGTACATGCATTCTTTACAAAGAAATTTTCTTCATTACTGTTGCATTAAATAAATTGTTTAGAATATATATATAATAGCAACATTTAATGATCACAGGTCAACATTAATTCTAATACACTATATTCAGAAACATCTTAATTTCGTAAAAGTCTTAATTACGTGTTTGTTTCAGCGAAATTAAGTTTCATATTAACGAAATTAAGGAAATTTGGTTGTCTGAACATAGTATTAAATTAAACAAATTTTTTGTTTTCAGTTTCACGCAGACAGTACGGATCAAAAGCCATTCATTCCATTTGGAAATGTCAAATTATTTTGACATTTGCTGCTCTCAGGATTTGTTTACATTAAAATGTTTGATGTTATTTTATTAAAGTTGTTTAGTTTTAGTTTTAGTTCAAATGAATGATTTTCTATAAAAACAAAATTAAATAAAATATGCAGTGGAATGGCTGAAAACTTTGCCGATCAATTCGGACTTAAATATGGCAGGATGTGTTTTTTTATTTTAAGTCTATATTTATAAAATATATTTTAAACGTTGTAAGTGATAAAATCAACTAAATGTTGTTGTTATAACTTGTTTTTTTTTTTATTATTTAGATTAACACAACGGTTATAAAAATTGACATCCAATTGGATAATATATCTGTTATGAGATTTGCTAATTACATCATGGAAGGGTATCGTGTATTTGGCAAATATTTACAGGAGTTCGTTGTTGTTCATATGTGAAAATGATCATTGCAAAGTACCGACATCATTTAGAATGGTAAGTTAGGTTTATGTGTATAAAATCATTTCATACTCAAAGTCTAGATTTCAATTAGTCTGCAATATTTTGAGTTTTGATTCTGTGTAAAATAAAAAAATACTCCAAATCTTTAAGTACAATTACTATGCATTAAAGATTAATAAAAAGTATGAATTAAATAAATTAAATTTTCTGTTTCCTAGTCTTCCAAAACACTGATGAAGTAAACATGTGACGTACAATAAAACTGAAACTTAAATTAATGCAAAATATTGAAATGAACACAAGAGTTTCAACAAACTAAAAATGTAGTGCACTGCAAAACGTACGTTATTTGACTCCATATTAAAATTTAAGCACTAGAAAAAGTTTGATAGATTCTTTTTCAATTGGAGTGATTGTCGTCTATGATTAATTTCTGTATCTCTTCTCTTAATGATTACTGGAACTGCAAGCTGAACTTCAACAACTGCATCGTCATGTAGAAGAATAAATTAAATTAAAATCTAATATGTACACAGTTTATTATTTTCAATCGGAAAACTATGAAAATGTATTGAGAGTAGGTATGTTAACTGCCACACTTCAGATTATTCAAATGCTTTATTGAAAATCTAACTAATAAGTGTTCAACTGATAAAAACTTATTACGGATTACTTAAGATTTTATTATATCAGTCGGCATTTTATTTTGAATTTTGGACAAGAAACGAAACAGAAATAGTTAAGTTAACGTTTTCATAATAGAGTCGACTAAGTTTATGTTCTAACACTCGATATTGACGACTACACCGTTTCACCGTTCAAAAGAGGGCGGAATCAAAAATGTTCCAGATCGATGACGGGAAAGAAGAAAAATAAAAAAAAATTTTTTGTTTAATAACAAAACAGCAAAACAACAACCGCAGAGAACAATTTTCACCAAGGAAAAAGTTATACCCAAACAAATAACTTCAATTGATACCTACAAATTAATTTTATAATTAAATTTATAAAAACTCATTAAGTTATACGAAGTGGAAATAATATATTGCAATAGTAATTTGAAAAAAAAAAGGTGCATACCTGATGTCTAGATAAGTAATAGTGATTTATATATTTAATATTAGTACAAAATTAATTCTCTGTAAATCTCTATTTTACAGCACTGCCGAGTTGAAAGTCTGAAAGATTAAGGACCACATGCTACGTCCGTTACTTGTGATAACGATAATGAAGTACAATATTTACATCTTTCTACTCTTTTGAAGCTGGCCCAAACCTACAAGAATTTTTTCATAACATACTATATGGATGCGAAAATTAGAAGTATACCGAATCCGTGTAGTATATTGATCCAAGTATTTTAAAGTTTTTAAAAACATGGTCGCTAACATTTACCTGGGGTGAAGCGCAAAAATATATAAAAACCAAAGTTTGTAGGTGCAAAATGACCAAATGAGCTATCAAACGGTTAGCTCTCCGACCTAACAACTTATAAAAAGGTTGAAAAAAAAAGTTTCTTCTTGTTTCTTCTTTTCTTCTTGTGTACTTTAGCTACGAATAGTAGACGATTTACAAGAAATATTAAAACTCTATCTTTTTCTATGACAAAAAGACTTTTACTATGCAAGAAAGAACAAGATGAGTTTAGAAAGATTTATTTGAAGCGTTTCAAACATTTTTATTACAATAGCACAATATATATTCTTAGTTATAAATAATAAGAATAATTTATTTGTATTGTTTATATAATACTTATTAAACGGGCTAAATGGTCATTTAATTAAAAACCATAATTTATTATTTGTATTTAAAATGATTATATATTATTAAAGTGATATTCTAATATTTCGACTATCTTCCATAGTTATCTTTAGGTAACCTAAGTTCCCTGACTTTTCAAGTTAATTTTTCTTTTTAATTTAAACCTAAAATTAAAATAATTCCTCATCTAATGGTATTAAAGCTGTTGCCTTAGTATTTTTTGCTTCACTCATATTAAAGATGAGCAGTCACATCTCTTCCATGTACATATTTATAACAACTTGTCATTATTTGTGTGTTAAATGGGGTCAAGCCTGCCAAATTTTTGTACAGATTAGATTCTGTTTTCTCAAATAGTTCTTTATCTATGAATATATATATTAAATAATTTATTTTTGATTTTACTAACTTCTAAGCTTCTAATCTAAGAGCCTTAGAACTAATCTAGTATCTAAGGCTTTAATCTTAGATCCTTAGATGTAATCTAGAATCTAAGGTTCTAAGTCTAAAATAAAAAAATACATATAAGAGTTTTCCAGAAATCATAGCAAGCTTCCATTTGTACAGCTTTCATATTCAATTTTAAATAGAAAAAAAAAATGTTATTTCTCTTTTTTTTTTAGTTAAATAAAATTTGTTAGTATAGTTTTTCGCAAGATTTTTTCTTGCGTCCAAAAAAAATTTTAAAAATGTTTAAAGTCTAACTACATATTGCAAACTTGTCTGGGGAACCTGCTACCACAATCCACACGACAGTGCAGACAATATATCCATTCAGAAGACAGCTGCCAAACGCCTAAAAGTGCCTAATATTCATCAAGAAATAGATATAAGTACCAAACAGGGGAGCAGGTTTCCTGTCATTTGTTGCAAGACAAGCCCAACAAGATGCCCAAAAAAGATTCCTTATCGGTTGCAGTAATCTGCGCTTCAAACATGAATCGTTCCATGAACGCACATCTACTATTGAAAAACAAAGGTTTTGATGTGAAAAGTTATGGGGTTGGTGATCTAATACGAATTGCCGGAAAGACACGAAATAAACCCAACTATTACCCCTTCGGCACTTCGTATCAAGAGATTTATAATGATTTGGTTGCAAAGGATAAAAAGTAGTAAGTTGGAGAAATTAATTTGATATGAAAAATAAATAAAAATAATGTTTTCTGCCGTCAGCTACAAAAGTATTGGTTTCTTGAAATTGCTCGAACGTAACCGTACAATTAAAAATGCTCCAGAGCGTTTTCAAGATTGCACGGAACAATTCGATCTTATAGTTACCGTGGAACAATGCATTTTTGAACAGGTAGTAAAAACTATACAATCTCATTATCCAACAACTCGTCGCTATGTCCATGTAGTAAATATTGACGTCGAAGATTGCTTACAAAAGGCTTCGTATGGGTCGGTGTTGATTGCTGAGTTTCTGACTAAGGTACATATAAACCATTTTATAAGAGTTTTATTGTACGAAAATTGCCATGTATTGAAAATCTTTTTATATAAAGGGCAGTTTTTATCCGTACACTAAAATGTAGTTGATATGTTATGATATCAATGATTTTACATACTATTTCTCTCATTTAAGATTGCCAAATCCAAAAATTGGCGTATGGAGATCTCTTATCTTATACATGACTTCCAATCGCGACACAAAAAAAGGGTATTACATACTGGATTGTTGTACTGAAGAACTAAGAAGAAACTAAGCTGGGTCGCGTTTAAAAAAGTTGCAGAAATTATAATTATACATTTAATTTGTATATATATAAGTCTTATATCAACCGGCAATAATAACACAAGTTTAGACTTTACTGCTATAGTTTTAATATTGTACATTTTTCCAAGATAACATTTATGATCATATGGGGAGGAAAGAGAAAGGAAAAATATCAACTCTTTTCAAATAGCTGGAAAGTTTTTTTTAATTCACATTACTCAATATTTTTGGTAAGTGGTTAAGTGTTTCATATTCACCCGAATGTATTGATGATTACAAGTTTTTCACAAATTTCTGAACTAGATATAGTGAAATGAGTAGGTGAATACTGCTCTCATATATTTCAATCAGAGTAATTCTAGGCCTGTCACTCGCACTATAAGTGTTCCTCAGACTTTAACAAGGAACATGTATAGAAGTTGCGATAAGACAGGCTCAACCTATTTCCATAAACTACTGAATTAAATAATTAATTGTGCTGAAAAAGAAAGATTGTAAATTTATCTTCGTCTTTATAGAATAGAAACTAGTTATATCGAGAAGGTATCAATTTCCGATATATCTGCATAACTAAGTGCTGAAACTAGAGTAACCTTCGAAATGCAATTAAATAAAACAATATTTTGTGAACTGGCTTGAACTAAATTTATACAACTGAAATAGATTTAAGACTTATTTACACTGGACGCTCTCAACGCAAGTATTGTTTGTGTGACCCCATAAACACGACCATTCCTAATGTGTGCTCAAACTGCAGCTTTATCCCCTATGACGTCGTCCATCTGTGTTCTTGTTTCACTGCACAAGTTAATTTAATTTCAATTGACCTCTGGACTCATCCCCTTGGAGTAGCTAGGTTTCTACGTCTGGATCCTAGTTGATTTTAATTATATCCTTCCTCCCCTCTTCCCATTATCCCCGTAACTCTAACCCTACCCATGTATTCGTCTTGTAGTCCCTACATGTTATCTGCTTTTCAGATCGAAGCGGGCTACAACAAACACAACAACATCGCAGCTATTCATGAACGCTTTATATTCGTAGCTGTTCACACAAAGCATTTAAAGTCGCTATAGCAAATGTATCTGAAGTATAATGAACATACTTTAATAATGTAAATAGAAAGATTACACTATTAAATATTATATATTTAATAATTTATTAAAATTTATTTAATAAGAATGTCAATAACATCGTTTGACAATTTTCTTAGGTTAATAGACAAAAATATGATATATAATAGACAAAATATGATTTAAATCTCTTATACGTAGTAGAGTAGTCTCTCCCTACATTACTGACATTTACTCTAACGGATCCAAAATAGACGAAATAGACTAGTCTTTTGCTTTGACTACCAAAATACTGTAGTGTTTTTTAAGCAGAAGTAATGACAATCCATTATGCTGTAAAATGGGCCCTTGGCAATACAATCTCTGCTGTAAATATTTCAATCTTTGTGCATAGCCAAGCTGCCATTAAATCACAAATTGCCGTGCTTCCCTCAATGACCTAGCTAGGTGCGTTAACGTCCAACTTATTTGCGTTCCTGGTCATAGGGTTATAGCGAGCAATTGCTGGGCGTATGAGCTTACCAACACAGGGCTCTTCTTTCTGATATTCACTTATTAAATATTGGCGTTCCACTTACAACAGCTAAACTGGCAATTAAACAAAAATATCTAAACATAGGCAAGCAACAATGGGCTGGTCAATCCAGTTGTTAGATTTCTAGATTCGATTTGGTCTAATTTGGACAAGAAACATACGAGTCAGCTACTAAAGCTACTAAAGCGAAATCTGCTCAGTATTACGGTATCGATGCGGACGTGGCACTGTTTAATAGGGAGCCATGTTATGAAGCTAGGTCTTCCATTTAATGACCTTTGTCGCGGTTGTGGCTCTGAAGACGAGTGGGAAACTGTGTTTCATTTCATGTGCCAGTGCCCATCAAAAAGTTCAGAAAAATTTCAAAAATCTTGGGGGCCCAATTTCTTACCGATATGACTAAGCTGTCATACTGCAAAATTAGGACTTAGCCAGATTTATAGAACTGTCAGGTTGATTTACCTTCATCTAATGGGGGAGTCGTTACCTTTTTCGGCGTTTGTCGTATATTGATCACCTGTGGTATTATAACGGGCCATCATTTGTGCTCAAGTGGGCTTTCTTAGTACACAAGGCCGCCACTTCAACCTAACCTAAACATATGGGCGCGTTCGACAATGACTACCCACATATTTAGAAAAACTGTTTTTTTAATGCTATTGAAGCTGTATCATCATTATATTCATCATTATATCCCTATATCTCTGTCCAGAAAAACAGGTCAAAAACCCACAATGTACTGCGCAACTACTATAGTAGAATATATATATATAATTTGATGAAAAATATATGTACAAGATTATAGTAATAAGAATTAAATTTATTTTTATTTATTTATAATTATTTCATATTAGTTTTCATATGCATTATTATAAAAAATAGTTTGAAAATTCTTGGCAAAAATATAAACGGTTGATGTTTGTTGAATATGTAATATGTATTAAGTTTAAAAATAATTTTCTGATTCTGATCAAAATGTGACATTAACAGATACAATTGAGTAAATCAACCAATATACGGTTTCATATATACAAATAAAAAAGATTTTTTTTTAATCGCGTATAAAAGATAAAAGAAAATTATAGTTATTTATGTACGTACGACTGTTTTTAAAAAAAATCTGAAAATAAATTACATATATATATGTCTTTTATAAAAAGATAAATTTACTGTGTTTAATTTTAATTATGAATATAAACTACATAAATATTTATATGTATATATTTATATAAATATATAAAGGTATGTAATGCATATATATATATATATATATTTATATTTATGTCTATATATATATATATAAATATATTTATAAATGAATGCTATTTTATGTATTATGAAAAGAGAATAAAGAAACGGTTATAAAATTAATTTTTTACAGATTTTGTATTTATGTATTTATGTATAGATATAGATGTACAGATATTGTATGTTTTATGTAACATGAACGAAATAAAAATAAAAAAATTATTTGAAAGCGCAGTATAGTAAAAAGTTTATCAAATATATGTATAATATACAATTACAATTATTTAAATTCGATTTAATAAAAAACAATAATAAATATCTTTATGTAATAACATATACAAAGGAAAAGCGTTTCATATAAGCTTTTTAAGAATGTTCAAGTTGTTAAAGATAGACATTCTAAATTATTAGTTTACTCATTTGAATGTGTTGTTTACTTATACATACATACATACATACATATATATTTATATATATTAACGTATTTGATGGTCAAATGTTAATAAAGAGGTTATTTTATAGTTTAATAGTAGTATAGTAGCTTGCATCATATATGTTACCTTAATTTATATACATTAATTTTAATTGAGTTTTAAAAACTTATACATACATATGTAGATTATACAATTATCATATAGATAGATGGCTAGATGGCTTTAACAAGTTTGGGCAAAGTATATGTTGCAAGCTTGAATTTTCTAAAAGTGATTCTTCGGGCATGTGTTGGACACTTTGGTAAATATGACTTTAATTGTGTAATCGATACTATATGATGAATTTTTTAATCTGAGTAAAATGAAATATGTATATTATATAAATTCTAATGTTTTTTGTTTCTTATAATTTTCTGTTAGAACTACTTTCAACAGAACAAATATAATATTTATATTTTTTATTATTTAACTATTTTTTTTGTTTTTTAAATTTAATTTAAAACTTGGCAATACTTTTACAATTTGATATGAAAATCGTTTATGGTGTTTAATATTTAAATCTGTTTTTAATTAATCGTTTCATTTAAGGTTGAAAAATATATAAATAGCCTTAAAATCTTGGTTTAATTCTTAAGTAATTCTTAAAAAAAGAAATATACAACAAAACTTAATGACATTATAGATATTTTCTGTTTTTAACGGAAAAACACTGCAACTAATATTTATATATACACCTATATATATATATATATATATTTATATACATATATAATATTATATATATATATTATATATATTATTAATGTATATAAATGTATATATATTATATTATATATTATATACATATATATATGTTTATTTATACATGTATATATTTTATATATTTATATATAAATAAAAGTTTAAATAAAACAATAAATGTGCAGTAGACGAATTAATGTAAATTTTAGTTTTTTTTTTTTTAATTTATTACAACAGCACCCCCTGTCGCATTAGGAATTATTAAATGGTTGCTAGTTTTTAATTGTATTTTTATAATTTACAGTTAAATATGTTAACTTGTCCAAACAATATACTTTGCACATATTCAAGTTTCGCTATGTTAGCATTTTAAAAAAAAGTACAGCTAACACTACATTAGCAATCAGTACCAGAAGCACTAGCTGCTGCCGCGAAAACCAATCCTAAAAAGAATTTTAATATCCATATTAATATATTAATTAATAATATTAAATATATATTTATATATTCACCTTAACTTGAGGACTGACTAAATATAAAAGTGGATTCGCTCTAAGTCGTTCGTTAACTTCGATTTGACGGCGTACCGCTTCTCGTCGTGCTGAGCCTAAAGCTGAAACTTCCTCACGACTCATTGCTTCAGTTGATTTCGGCAGCTCTTGGAAGTCCGGCAAAGACTTTTTTCTTTGTAAATTAACATTTATAGGAACACTCTGAAATTTCAAAAAAAATGTATATATATAACTAATAATATATAATAATAATAATAATATACAATATATAACTATGAACTAATAACTATCTTTTTGTCTTGCAGTTTAAAGGAACTTAATTCCTTTCTATAAACAGATACTAAATCATTGTCTAAATCATATCTGAATCTGAGTAGTCCACAATGTTCATATATTTGTTCGTTTCAGTAACAAATGGGATTAGCAAATGTTAGGTTAGATTAGGTTGAGAGACTTCGTGCGCTGACAGTTACCAGCACCTCCACTCGGAGGCATATATTGCCCATTGTGATGAGAGCACACCTCGAAGATTTTGCCGGGAGAGGCGAGTTGCCAACCTTGGTTATCTTCGTGTACTATCCTTGTTAAACCAATTGGTTTTTCAGATAAAATTGAGGAGATTTGATTAGTTTGCTTTCGTTATGTCTTTCAGGTCAATAAAAAAGCAGTCTCCATGATATTGAAGTCGCCGTATCTGAAGTTCTAGACACAGAAGAGATTCTACCTGCCCTTCATCTTGGAAACTCCTGCATAATCCACTTGTTGGAACTACTCCAGTAAATATATGAACTGCAGGTTTGTTGAAGCCCAAAAGGCTTTTTGTTTATGTTAGCTTAACATATAATTTATAATGCAAGAAATAAATACATAAACAAAACATACTTGTAATTAAGATTTTGATCAAAATCATGTTAAGACCTTGACATGATGTGTAAAATGCAGCATCAATCAAATGATTTTAACGAGATATTTCACAGTTAGTGAATCCTTTTGCATTAATTCCGACGACTTGACACTACACACTTAGCAATATCTTAGCCATGACTTGATCATTCGTTATGATATTTTAAGGCGTCATGAGTTTAAGGATTATACGCATAACTACAATCATTTGGGTGACCAGACAAAAAAAATATAGTGTGATGAAACACCGCATGATATTGATAGGCCATTTATATTACAAAAATGTTAAATTACACATCCGGGAAACTTTTGCAGCCTAAAAGTGTTGTATGGTACCATAATGTTGAAACCATACATCAGTCACAGCTATATCTACAGATGTATATAGGTATATGTATATATCAATTTCACTCCAAAAAATGTTCAGCGGTTGTTAAACGATTCATGTTGTGAAATTACACACTTTAATTTATACAAATTTTGACGAACTTGGTTTTGAGAAATTATAAATCACAGTGCGATATACCTAAAATTTATACTGAATGGCTGGATCAAAGAAAAAATTAGGGTGTAAGTTCGGGAGTAATGAAAACGAAAGGAAAAACAAAAAGGAAAGAAGGAAGAAAGGCAAGAAGAAAGACAAAAAGAGAGACAAAAAGAAAGGCAAGAAGGAAGACAAAAGGAAAGACAAGAAGAAATGCAAGAAGAAAGAAAAAAAAAGAAAAGAAAGAAATGGTTTTTCACTTATGAGCTACTTTTATCGGAGTGCAACTCTATTGGGACTCCGAATCAGACAGCTTGCTTGTCTATCTGTAAATGAATATTTCGTTCAGTCTTCTCACAAGTTCTCTTCGAGAATTTCAATAGACTGCTGCAACTGGCAATGAAAAACAAGGTAATACTTTGTTCGGTGTTTGATCACGAAAATATTGATCAAAAGTATACACAGAAAATCACACAAGAAGTAAATTAGTCATTCAATTTTGTGATCAGATACTTATTGTAAAATAAGCTGGTCCACAAGAAAACTGATCTACTGTTAAGAATTGGACTGTAGAGGAAAGTAGTCGCTACTGCCATGACACTTGGCTTACATATGGGCTAGTACGAAAACTCCATTAGAAAAATTTCTAACGATTTCAAATGAAACGTTTTCTGACCTTTCAGAGAGCAGTATTTGTCGCAATTGCAAAATGGATGTTAAACCATCCATTTATTTATTTCATATTTTATTCATAGTCTTGTTGCATAATATAGTATATGAAACAATATGAAACAATATAAAACGGTCAAAGATACCCGTGTTTATTAAAGGCCTAACGATTAATTACAACAACTGGGGTTAGCATAATAGACTATTTGAAAGATGGTGTATAGTAATCCGCACTTAATTATAAAAATAATAAAATGAGTGTTTGGAAAAGTAGTTTTAACTGATTAACTGGTGTTTTTTTGGATAACTCAAATGCACAGATCTGGAAATGTTTTGAAGAGAATGTGGAATAAAAACTATGTTTCCAATCCTTTTGTGAAAGTTCAGGTAACATTTTGTTATATATTTTGATTATACATATTAAAGTTATTGCATTGAATATATTATATATATATTATATATTTTATTAAAGTCATATGTATTGTATATTAAATTACAAAAACGTACATATTAATATAGTTTGAATAAGGAATATATTATATTAGGTTTACCAAGGTGCGTGTAACTCAGTGCGGGAGCTGTCGATAACCATATAAACTATGTAAATTCTTAATCAACAGGAAAATACTTCATTCTTCTATATGTTTATCTGAATGTTGTCATTTAGCTAATTAAACCAAACTTTATAAAGGAACTTTTTGAAGGCCCAAGCATATTAAGTTGATAACTATTAATTATTTCTATATCTAAAATAACAATTTTATTGTTAAAATATAAAAAAATATTTTATATTAAAATATAAAATTATAGTAAAATATTATTTTATTTTATTGGTCAAACGTTAATACAGTGTTGTAGAAAGTTATATGAGAAAAGTGGCTATATTCGAAGAGTTTTTTACAGGGATTAATTTATAATATAACTATTTGTTTGACTAGCATCCTAGTGTTCATTTAGTGTAGATTTTTTATCACGGATATAAAAGAATGAAAGATAAGTTATGAATTGACTATACAGGCAGATAATAATTGAGAAGATATAAGGATGTAGGAATACCGGATTGTTTAAACACAAACTAGTTCCTTTATTGAATTTGAAGCTTGCTACATTTTAGGTAAAATTGATGCTATATTATTATCTTCGTCAGTTTCTTGAAAATTCCTAAGAAACATAGGCCTCTATGTAGGTTTATATGTAAACGTGCGCTCTCATAAACGAATATATGTATATTTTACACTACCGTATATTATTGCTAGTCTCTAATATTAATTTTTAATAATAGAGTCCCCAGTAGTACCCCCAGTTAACATTTATGAGTACATCCGTTCGGCAAAAACTTTTACAATATTTATAAATTCATTCAATACACATATAAATACAGTGTCTACTTCATTACCAATACCGTAATTATATGCTGTATACTATACTCTATTAGGTAGACAATTTGCCAATTAAATTAATTTGTTGTCGAGAGGGTTTTCACTGTTTTCACTAAATAATACTATACTACTCTTTTGTTGAAAATTTTTCGAAAAACAAATTTTGTTTCTATCATAATATGGATTATATGATGAAAACAACATACACTTGACGTTCAGTAATCGTTTAAAGGATTTTTCAATACACAATCACATTGTTAGTCCTTGTTTTGTATGACTATCATTAGAAGTTGTGAACCAGTTTTATCCATGTATTGACGTGATTTATCTGGATTTGTAAAAAAATTTTATTTGAAAACAGAAACTGAGAGACAACTTTGATGATAAGTGAGAAGCAAGTTGAAACGTTTCGTTTCTTCATGCGTGTCTTCAATTTTATGTAGTCTCTGGCGCCCTCTTCACTGCTTTTTAAATATCTTGACAAATCATATATATATACTCTATACACAATAATGTGAAAGGTATGTTAATATTTATATTTATACTTATATACACATATAAACACACAAATAGACAATACAAAAATATATGACAATGACAAAATGAATATATACCTCTACTGGAGGTTCAATAATCCAACTTTCGGAAGCTCTCCTTGCGAGTAATGCTGGAGAAAATAATAAATCCTCTTCATCTTCTTCTGGATACCAATCCATTTTTAATTATTTTTCTTTAAAAACATTTTATAATAAAGACCATTACATAACAATATATTAAATAAATATAAATTCGTTGATCATTTAACAAAATATATGTATGTACATCACTCCTTTAGGTATATAGACTCGTATGCAAATAGAACGTAAATAGTTCGAACCCCACAAATTATTAAATGTTGCCGATTTTATTTTTATTAGATAAGTTCTTTTGGTATTGCAGGAATCAGATATTCCAATATTCCCAATATTACTCTATTTTGATAATCGTACAGATATACCATAAACTATACGATTATAGTAAATAAATTTCGATATTAAAAATTTAATTTGAATGAATTCACTTTATCGTTGCACCGTGTTCCTAATTCAAAGACTTTTTTTTACTAAAATCGAAAACTAACCCAACAAACACAGAATTGAAATTCATTTGCCTTCCCAATACACAATGTTGGAGAGAATGAGTCTCTGAGACTCGGCAATGCAATGCTACAAATGAATTTGTAGTAGAATCTTCTGTAGCTTATCTGCCAATATTATATGCCTCGTTTAAATTTAGCCCAAAACGTTTTGAATACACAAGCGAAATTGTTTTTTATATACGAGAAACACTTGTAAAGAATCACTAAGAATTTGTTGGGATGTTGGAAGTCTCATTGGAAATTTCACTTGAAAGATGCAATACCACAATTAATAAGAATAGCAATAATGAAATGAGTGGCGACCTCTTCAGAGATGTCTATTTTTAAAACGTACATACATGATTTAAACAAAAGTAATAATGCGATTAGCGTTGGCAGAATTCTTTTACATCAAAAGAAAATCTTTAAATTTTTGTGCAAATTCAAAAACAAAAAGTTAATAATATAATATTTTTAATATGACTAATATACATTTTTTTCTTCTTGATTAACCTTAATTTTGTTTACATGAATGGAAGACTACCATATACGATTTATCTTCTACATATGAAGAATGTTCAAAATTTTATTTAAAAAAATAAGTGTTTCTTGAGTTCAAGAATCTTTAGTAGCCTTCACCCACAAGGCACCATCAAGACTCGTTTTTTTTTTTTTAAAGAGTTATATACTCATGAAATCATTATTATTCTTAATAATATATCTATGTGGGGAATATTATGCACCGTGACTTGTGTTAACCCTATTTGTCTAAAACTTTCGATTGGGCTGAACATTTTGTTTGATTCTATTTTATTCTATTTATTTATATATTATATGAAGCAACCAGTCTATCCCAAAAACGTTTAAGTCTATCGTTGTTGATCTATTTTGGACATTCACATAGACTGTGTTCAGAAATTTTAACAGCAATTTAACAGTAGCGACAAATATTTACATCAATTTTGTTGATATAGTAGCTCAATTTGCGGTGTTAAAGAATTTATAAAAATTTCAAAGCCCTCTCTGGTCTGTGGAAGAGTTTATTTGGTGTTATCATGGCTGAACTTTTGCAGTTTTCAGTGTCTCTTTAATCTTTAAAATACTACAGCTTAGCGATTCTTGAAATAGGATTTCAAACAAAATCTAAATTTTTTCACAATATGTCTTCTCGCAAGACGATAGTCTATAACATATATGTCTGTGAAACAAGACTATGCCACTTTTTTAAGCATTGTTTGACAACTATTCACCACTAATGCCTTTGATTGACATAACAGACCTTCAATCAGCTAATCACAAAATCGTTAGATCATGGATTATTATACTTGTATTATAAATACGTTTGAAATATCGAACTATATTAGTCTATAAATTAATGCATATTTCTACGATTTCTTTGGTTTATACAGTCTCTTAATATGATACATCTGTGTAACATAACAATTATCACGTCAAGTAATTTGACTTTTAGCTAAACTCATTAAACTCAGAGATTTTGAAGACTACTCTTTTAAAGTGGTTACCAATGTTATATTACTAGCTTCACTGCAACTAAGTCGAAAACAAACCTTTCATTATGAATATGAACGACCTGATGAATGATGAACTAGCAAGCCCACCATGTTTAAGAAAAGAACCTCAAAGTTTCCTTATTTCTGTAGCTAATAATCAATGTGAGTATGAACTCTAAGCTAATAAATAGTGATTCGCTTGATGGGCTAACTCAAGAAAATCCAGCTCATCGGATCACTGTCCACTACATTCTGAAGGTAGTTGACAGGACCACTGTCAACTTAGAGATTCTGAAGGTTATTTCTTTAAAGTGATTACTAATGTAATGATAATAGCTTCACTGCCACTAAGACGAAAAGATACTCTTCATTATGAATATGAATACATTTGTGATAACTGCCGTATTTTTTTTACAAGAACGTGATAACATATCATCTGTTCAAATTTTGAACATGTGTCTGCGCGCTAATTACCTAAGTAACATATTCAGTTATTTGGGTATTAAATATTTTAGCATTTTATTTAATATTTTAGTATTTTATTTTATATTTTTAGTAAATTAAATTAATTTCTAACAAAGGTTTTTCAAAGCCTTAAAATATTTATTACCAAGGTTCTTTTAGACATTAAAATATGAAATGTAATAACAGGGATTAGTTAAAAATGTAAAGGAAAAGGAAGTAATTAAATAAGGTAACAAAGAAAAAGGTTAAGGGACATTTCCTTTAACCTTGTATCTAAAAGAAAAACCTAATTAAATCAAATTATTAGACTATGTAAAATTTAGTATTTAAGAGCAAAAATTATAGAAAATAAACGAGTCTTATATTTATTCTAAAACCGAACAGACGTGTGTTTTTAGTTGAAGTTTCTTATCATCATCTTTAAATACAAAATGCAAACCGCATCCTCGCACACTTCTTGGTATTGATCAAAGATAGAACGAATAGCACCGAACAGTCATCGCATTCGCCTGATATAACTTCCCCTAATGTCTTCTGTTTGAATGACTCAAGAAACCACTTCGGTGAAAAAATTTTATCAGCTGATAAGCGATAATACAAAATCGGATATGACTCTATTGGCTATACAAAAATTAGATTATAAAAAATGTTTTGAAGATTATATCAAGGCATAATTGCGTTTTAATCAATGGAAAGTACTTCGAAGATGACAATATCGATTATCATAAAATATATTTTAAAAATAAAGAACAAAAAAGTCATATTTCTATAGATCTCGAACGATTCTATGGAGTTGACAATAATTAACTCATCACAATTAAATTTGTCAATAGAATGAAAGTACTCTCTTTAACTACAGGGAAACTCAAGTATGATCTACAAAGAAGCGGTTTAGATGACAATTATAATTGTAGACTCTGAAATGGAATATGGAAATGACACATGTTTTAGTGAGGCTAAAAACAAAACCAGTTATATAGAATCTAGAATTATATATCCCAAAGACTTAGCTAATACTAAACCAACCAACCAAAGTTTCCATAGTCTGAAACTGGGTTGACTAATATAGAAGACTGTACAAAAAATCGATGTAAGAAAATCTGATGAAAACAGACAAACTTTAGTCAGTGAATCATGTTATTAGAATAGAATAAGAGGGTGACGAAGTTAATATGAAAAGATGAAGTTGACTGAAAGGCAAAAGAGTCTTGCACTACTCGTATAATCAAGAAGAACACAAGCAAGTGATTAGCGTAAAATACAAGTTGTAAAGGTCAGTATTGCATTGTATCATTCATGGTGATATGTTAATGATGATAATGATATATCATGACATATACAAAGATATATAGCAACACAAACAACGATGCAAAGTAGTAAGTATTATTTTCGAAGAATAAACAATTTAGTTATTTTATTATCAAATTATAATAAATAAATGTATATACGTAATATAGAAGCACCATGTCCGAACATATTTCAGTAAAAATTTTTAACGAACTGAAGATTGGTATACGTTGTAAACTTTTTGGACTATTCGCTTTTGGGATGTCGATAAATATTGAAAAAGCAGCTCTCTTCTGAATGGCTTTTTTTATTTCTTGCACATAGAGTCCGACATAGAGTCATTTTTACTGAATAAGTCGGTAACATCGTGTATATATATTTATGAATAGATTCATATATATAAATATTTATTGTTATTGTTATATATATTTATATATATATATATATATATATATATATATATATATATATATATATACCAGTTATATTGTTTTTTCATCAGATATTAATTATTTAAGAAATTCTTAATGTTTACCTTTAGTTTTTTATTGTTTGCTCCACCTGCAGCGGTCATGGCCCCAGAAAGTGCATTAACTGGTTTCGCAGGTATATACAGACTTTCTGTGCGTTTAGGCTGGAAAGGTGATGGTATGATATCTTGACCAAGTGTTCGTTGACGCAGGAGTACATCTTCGAAGGGTTGATTTGAATTAGAAAATGAAGCTTCTGGTACCGCATTTATACCATGATGTTGTAAATTGGGTGTACCAGCTCGAGAATGACGACTAGAGAGTACGCCATTTCCATTTGTGATAATTTGTGCTGGTACAGGAGTTCCACCACGTAATATAGATCCGGATCGTTGTTTTATATCAGGTGATGCTCCAACTGCATCATTTGGCCCTGCAGCGGTATTTCCGCGATCTACAGATGTTTGTCGTGATCCGAATCCTCCACTTAATCTACTTGCAGCTCTCGCGTATCGATCAATTGAAGAATCTCGACTTGGTGGACGCTTATAATGATCAAAATAGTCTATTGATGATTGTTGATTAGTTTGACCTAATGGTGGAGCTTTAACTCGATTGGCATCAATTGATTGTTGCGATGATCGTCTGTTGTGATTTGGGATCGTTTTAGGTGATGAGTTTACAGATTGTTGAGGATAATGATCGTGTTCTGATGTTTTGAAATATTGTTGTGGTGTACGTATATCTGAAGTTTCAGCACGGGTAAAGTTTAAATAGTCGTTTTGGATTTGATTAATATTAGGGCTGATATTTTTGTTTTGCGTTTTAAGTGTTATATTGGGATTTAATCTCGCAGATGCTAATTCTTTCTCAATTGCACCAGTCACACCATAACTATTCATTGAGAGCTGAGGCTCCTGGTATTGATGCATTGGATTAACATGATTTTTTTGGTGTTCCTGGTGATGGTAAGCTTGAGAAATTAAATTTATACTATTCTGTCCTGTTTGATTAACTATTGATGATAAGTCTGTTTGTGGCGTTATTGGCAGTTGTTGAGAGTACATTGAGCTAGGAATTGGGAATTCTGCATCTTGATTTATCGAATGAGACTGCCGTCGATTTTTTTGAAAGTTGTAAGCTTGTTGCTGTTGGCGATATGCAGTGCTTGATAGCGCATCCATTTGGGAACTAGCGTTTCCGGTAACATTACTATTCGCAGGTATTGGCTTATATCGTTCCCTGTATTTTAATTTTTCAAAACGTTCTAAAACTGAGGGTTTAAAATCGGGTGCAAATTCACGTGCCATTTGCACAGCTACTTCACAGTCCATTTTAGCTTGATCAGCAGCACTATCTGCATTTTGAGCTTTAGATGCTGCTGTGGCAGTACGCGAAATTGCAATATCTGATCGTTGCATTGCCATTTTCAATGCACGCTGTGCAGAGTTTACCGAGGCTGTTATGCGTTCACGAAATTTTCGTGATCGCGCAAGGAACAAATGCTTTTTCTTTTGGCTTGTAATTAAAATATTATTTTTATACTTTCCCTCCTCGAAAGTGCCGTCCCGAAAAGCAGTTACACCATAACCATGCTTTTTGTTATTGAGCCACTCACCTTCATACCTAAAATTTAAAATTTTAAAATTTTACTTCAAATAATAATTAAATTATTATTATTACTTACTTTAAACCATCACTTCGTTCAGCTACACCATAACCGCAACGCTTATCTTTTTTCCATTCGCCCATATATGTTTCTACTACGGTAGGATCTAATTGTTCATCTTCCATTGTGAAACTTGCATTAGATTCTGTATGAGTAGACCTAAGATATAATAAATTATCACAAAACGAGTAGTGCTGGCTTAATAGAAAAAATTTACTTTGCTGTTAAGTTGGATTGTTCGGAGCCCGTGCTTAACCATGATGCCGTTGACATTGTTGAGCGTATACTGCCAGATCCCAATGTGCCCCGCTTCTCTAAGTCACCAGTACTTCGTTGTTTACGCATTTTAAGGCCCTAAAAAAATTAAATTATGTGTTGATTTGTTTCAATTTAAATTAATTAAAATTATGATTTACAGATAGAAATCCTTTTTTAGTGCGCTCATTTAAGCTATTGCGCCTCACTGGCAACTTATCAGATTTCGCGGTTAGTACAAAGCCTCCACGCACTTCTTCGATTTTATTGTTACGTTTCTCAGCATCTCCAATTTCATTACTTCGCAATGAACTCAACGATGCATGCATGTTTTTTCGACGATGATGTGAAGCTAACCCGAAAGGAGCTGACGTTCTTATTCCATAGCCATGACGTTTTCCTTCTTGCCATTGACCTTGGTATTTTCCTGATTTTTTAAGAAATAAGGACGTTCAATAAAGTTTTTTAATTCAGATGAGATTTTTTTATTCAACTGATTTCTAGAAGTGCGATTCGAACATGGAAAACATATATACTTATATAAAAAGTATCAAACTATTATTAATACGTGGTAGTATTTATAGTGCTCCTTTTAAAAGGCAAGTTTAATTTGTTTTTTAAATCTACTTAACATTATTATTTTCTTTTTCCATCTTCACTAGGGAAATTACTTGGTACATTATTCTTACGGGTGGTAAAACCTGTACCTCTCCAATCATTTGGGGTATTTTGTTGTAGAAAAATTTTTCAGAACATCGGGTACCACAATATTCAATGTGGTCTACTCAAGATTTTGCAATATATAATATAGATTTTGCAATAAAGCTGACACTATTTTTGTTATATGTTATTGAAAAAGTGTTAGTCAACGTTTAAGGGAGATTATTTTCATTCGAGAGTTTCCATTACTCGAATTAAAAAATAACACAAAATTATTTTTATTGTTTTTTCGTTTTTTAATTTAAAATTCAAAATTTGAAAAAAATAGGTCTCTTTTAGTCACAAGCTTTCCCAAGCTTTCTTTGCTGGGTACGGCATGACGCTTGAGTGCTTGATGATGCTAGATGATGAAATCTTCGAATATAGACTTTATAGCCATTTTTACGCAGGTAAAATTATAAATGTTCGGCTCAAGACTTGATTCTGATATAAAAAATTTATTAAAGTTGAAGTTCCTTTATTTTTATCTTTATTCTGTATATATTTAGAAAATATTCATCACGACTCCGATTTTTAGTTGACGATTTGGCAAGTTGTAGTGATATTGCACTTCAAATTTTTTACATATAAACCTTCATCTAACTATTTGGTGCATATACCTGTTACCCTTTGTTTGTTTACTTAATAAAAAAATTTCATATACTAATGGGCACTAAATGGAATATATAATTTTTGTTGGTGTGATCAATCAAAAATAGCTATTTTGTCTTAAACTGAATCATTTTATTTTCATGAAAATAACTGACTGAAATTCGTTGTCAAATTAGCATTTCCAGGAAATCCCAATTACGCTAAACATTACTTTTGTTTATTTAATATTGAACAGAGGGGATATACTAGATCTAGTAGAAACATAGTTAAGATACTCTAAAATAAAAATGGATTCAAAAAAGTTTTTTTTTCTTGTTCAATTATTTTAACTAAATTGTAACATAAAGAGTAATTTAAATTTGAAATAACGTTTTAATTTACCTCCGTCGGCATATGTTTCACAACCGTACCCATCCTGATATCCAAGATTCCACGTACCCTCGTATTTTGCCGTAGATACAGTACTTTCACGTACGCCATATCTACCTTTATGGCCATCCTTTGACCATTCACCTCGATAAATTTGGCGACCAATTTGTTCAACTCCTAACCCATGACGTCTGCCATTTTGCCACTGGCCTTCGTAATGAGACCCACTATGGAATAAAATGAAATTAATATAAAACACATATGCAATTATTATTAATATTTATAGAATGTTTATAGAACTTTAATAAAATTAGATCGCATGTATAAAATTATGCTAAGGTAAATAATTTTCAAGATTTTATTTAAAAACGAGTGGCTTTGATAATGCCAGGTTAAATAGAAAAAACAAGTCAAAAACGATTATAACTAAGGTATAAAAAGATAACATTGATCTCTTCTTGTTTATAAAGTCATAACATTTAAGTAGAGATAAAATTAGAATAAAATATTAATGCATGACCCGCGATCCTAATAAAAATTTTATTATAAATTCCAGAACTCAGTTCCAACTATTGCAACTAAGATTTATCCAAGGCATATAGGACTTATTAAGTAATCAAATTGAGGATTAATTATTGATTTAATGAGATTCTTACATATAGTTTCATATAAAGCAAAGGATAACGATTAACCATACAGTTTGTTTATGTTCTGCGATTCTCATGAAACAAGTCAAATATATTTAAAGAGTCTTTCTTTGACTGGAGGGCAAGCTAAAGTCATTAAAGTCAGTTGAACATTGTGCCAAGACCTGAAAACGGAGAAAATTTGAAGTAATAAAAAATTTCATTTATTGAATATCAATCAATGAAACCAAACTTAAGCCAACCAAAAAAACTTTAACATCAAAAACTATATTTAAAATTTTGTTACTAGGGTCAGTTTCTGTTTGGCTTAGATTAGGAGTTTATCTCCTGGAATATCACAAAAGATCTTTGCGGTTTGGTATAGTTCTGTCTCTTACTAGGTGCCTAACTGAGATATATAAACATCTTACAATAAGTAGTAATACACTTAAACTTAATACCATAAATTGTAATGGAGAACAACTCTAAAATGAAAATAATTGAAATTATTCTTACTTAACATCTTAATGACATTTTCTCATTATAAGAATAAATATAACCAAATAAGGAAGACTACAAATATCCATATCATCAAATTTTTGCAAATAAATCAAAAAACCACACAGTTCTACAAATACTATTAATAGTATCTGTATGTAATACACTGACACCGATTAGCACTACTCACTAATTCCAAACCAACAACATTAATAAATGGACCAGACATGATGCAAATTAATAAATTTCAACAAATCGTCATAATCAAAACGGCAGGTGTACTGAGAAAGAGATTTAAATAATTTACATAAAAGAAGGATTACAACCCCGGATAGATGTCTGTCTATAAAAATCATAGGTATCTTAAAAATAATTATAATATAACTCGCCATCTATTTTCGACAACGAGCAACAAACCCTCTACTGAAATAAATTTGTGTTAATAACCGCAATTCATACTCCAATTGATTCTATTTAATAATAAAACAGGGCTTTAAACCCTAATATATTCTTTAAGATACAGACAATGGTCCAGAAAATCTCTTTCATAAAACCGAACCACTTACTACACTACATATTTATGTGAACTTATTTCATGAATTTTAGTGATTTATCTTATGTATAACTCTGGAAAACTGGTTGGACAAGAAAATGCGTTTTTTTGTATATTCGTATTATTAATATTGTAGTTCCGACCAAAGAGATTAAATAGACAAAAAGCGCCGGGCCCTGTTTTGAAACCAATGGGGGACTTAAACCACCTTCACAACCATATATGCCATCTTAAAGTTTCACCAAAATTAACTATCACGAGCTTTACTACTTTTGAATTAAAAATCTTTCAAAGATTCTTCGTTCGACAGCTGTAGGTAGTATATGTGTTATGTCTACCTTTGTGTCAATTTCGTGTATTCAGATGTCTTCCAGGACACAGTGGCAAGCCCAGAATTTTCGCCGGTTTCGGCGGTGGGTGTTGGCATCAGTATTATAAAGTCGACATTTAAAAAAAAATTTCTCGTGCCATGTATTTGATTTTTATTGATCGTAACATCTTCCTCCTGATGTCACTGTCTGCACGGTCAGGTTGAGTTGTTCCTCCCTACACTTATGAGTGGTGATGTGACCCACTATTTCTTTACCACTACACCCTATCTTACTGTGGTTTGTCCATTACTTGGTTCATTTGGTTTGCATTACTTGTCAATCATGCCGCACCTCCCTCATATACAATGTAGTCTGCTATAACTATTACCCGACATTTTTGCAAGAATAAGTGAAGTATCTAAACTGGTTGTTACTTTAAAAATTTACACTGGTTGATATTTACTTATTACAGCGGATAGTAGTGAACACCAAAATTTCTCAAAAGACACAGTTTTGTTTAGTTTATATTAAATAATATAGTTATAATATAACATAATAACATATATATAATATATAATATGTAATATATATAGTATATAATATATATAATAATATAATATATAATAAAATATGTAGACAAACGAAAATAATTTAAAATTATTATTTACCTTGGCCAAATGTATGCTCCGGACACTTCAAAACCATAATTCCATGCTCCCGCATAAGCGCCTTGATGTTTTGGACCGGTACATACACCATGACCGTGCGCTTTGCCTTCATCCCAACCACCACAATAGGTTCCACCATCTTCAAAATCGAAACGACCACCACTTATTTGTGGACGCTTGTTTGACATTTGAACATGTGAGCCATGCTGAATATTAGGTGTACTAGGATCTCCCTCCACGCCAATATTACTAATGCCACCTTGTTGCTGCTGCTGTTGTTGTTGTTGTTGCTGTTGTTGTTTTTCAGTCTGTTGCATTTTATGATATACCACTACTTTATCTTACACAACTATCTTGAAATACGTTTAATAATTGCTTCTACTGCTGACAATTTTATTGTATTCAATTATTAAATTTAATACCATGATAACACTTATGGGCTTGCCATTAATACCCCTGTTTCGAAATTTGTAAATTCTTTGAGGAATTGACATTGGTTAGTATGTGGTGTGATTGCTTGTTTGCCTTTAAACTTTCCAGATGAAAAATGTTTTCTTATATTTTGTTTTTTAAGTTACTAGAATTATAATTCAGGTTTGTTAGTTACATAAAATTAAATAAAATGTTAATCTATAAAATTAAATAAAATGTTAATCTATAAAATTAAATTATAGATTAATTAAAGATCCCAAAACTTGAAATATATTTGACTCTTACTTCAATAATTTATTATGAGTAAATATATTGAAGTAACTAATATTATAATGACTAATAACTAAAAATATATCTATAATAATTATATTATAAATATATTTTTTTTTTTAAATATTTTTATAAATCTTTAGCATATATACTATTTGATTAATATATTAATAAATAATATAACTTCACATTTACATTCATATTATAATAACTAATAACAAAAAATATATCTATAATAATTGTATTATAAATATATTTTTCTAAATATTTTTATAAATATTTAGCATGTATACCATTGGATTAATAGATTAATAAATAATATAACTTCCCACATTAAATGGGAGTATTTAATAAGCAAGAATTGAACTAGTAGGACATTAAACTAATAGGAACTGTTTTAAACTTAAATCAAAGTTAATTAACGTTAATCAAAGTTAATCAACGTTAATCAACTATAATCATCTGTTATTGACTATAATCAAGAGTCTGCATTTAACGTTCCAGTTTTATGATTAAGAATGCATTTGAACAACCACTAAGATGCGGAATTTGATTAAAGTAACGACAATCTGTCTGTCGAACAGGTTGGATGGTTGAATTGATTGTTTTAAAGATTAAATTTACGATATAAATAATTATTTTATAATTTTTGTAATTTATTTGAATGAAAGAATGTCAAGTAATTTGTTTAAACTTGTCATTGTTTAAAAAATTCTTCATACACTACGTACACCTCGTATAGTTTGAGTGATATTAATCACAAAATGTTTTCAAACATAATAACTTAACGGCTATTAACTGATATAGAATCACATTACAACGTTTAAATATTTAATTAACAAAAAAAAAAAAACAAAAAAAAATACATATATATACATGTATATATATATATAAATGTTATAGCAAGCTTCCCCTGTGGCAGCATCTAGTGATATTTAACCACATTTAAAATTTTTATTAATAGACCCAGATACTAAGGTAAAATTCCTATGTATTTATTATTTTGTACTCGATAAAAAGAAAATAAATGGACGCATTTTATTAAAATTTGTATTTTGATATAGAATGTAATTGTACATTTATCGTCCATGAGCCCAAAACATGACATTGAGAAGAAGCGTCTCCCATGTAAAAAAAAAATTTTGTAAAAAATTTTGGAATGGAATATACCTATTATATAAATGCCTTACTTTTAGCACATATGTACTCGTATATGTTAATGTATGGGTTCATATGAATTACTCTTAGCAATACATGTTATGTTATTCATTTTATTGACTAGAATATATAGAAAAAAACATATTTTGAGCAATCAATGAGATATAACTATATTCTCTGGGTATTCTAAATTTATTGAAAACATTTTTTTTTTTTTTTGGCTGCAAGAATTCAGTAAATCCTTTAACTTTTACAGATACTTGTATTATTTATTCACTTCATTTATTTCAAACACAATTAATTATGTCAAAATTTTTATTCACAATTTTTTTTTTTATTAACTCTATGTATATAGTTATACATGAAAGTATTTCTCATATATAGCAAATATATTATTTATAAAAGTATGTACATATATATATATTTATATATATATATGAATATATGAATGTATATATTTATATATATATAATAATAATTTTAATAATGTGTATATTTCAGTTTTACCACATCTTATTTATTTCATTATATATGTATTGTATTATATTAATTATTTAAGGAAGCATTTCTTTCTTACACCTCGTTTTTTTTAACAATTTTTTCACTTTTTCTTTAAAATACGTTAAAGAAATATTTAAAATGCAAAAACCGTTCCCGTTTCTTACATTTTAACCCCAAAGAGCACCAGGCTGAGAGCTGACAGAGAACGCCTGAGGCTGGGGAAAAACTAACGGCCTACTGTAGTAATAAGACAGAAAAGAACCGAATCCAACCGAACCGAGGCTGCTGAACAACGATGACGGGTTGTAGACGAAAAAAGAAAATTAGTTTATCTATATTTTAAAATGAATGGATATAGTAAAATACAAATTATTTTTTCAGAACTATTTAAATAAACAGTTGTTCGGCACAATATATGATCTAAAATTGTATATAATAAGTTAAACACGTAAACCTATTAAAAAGAATAGAGCAAATATGATGCTGATGCTGATGCTGCTTTACTCAATTGTAAATATTTAGAGAATCTTTTATTATCGCATTGCAGTCCAATGGAAGGTGTAGCTTTGTAGCTATGGGAAAGCTGGATATTGAATAAAGTATCTGCTACAAAAGGAATGACATAGTTTTTCATTTTGAATTCTGCATACATATGATAATAAAAATCTTTCAAATAATCGACTGGCTGCTTTTACTTTTTGATGTTGTTGATGAGATTAAACAAAAGTATTGTGTTGTGATGTACAGAAATCATTTCTATTGAAAGTGTCCGCATAGCAATTGAAATGTTTTAAATATTTTTTTTTTTAATTTTTTTTTAATACACATATGTAAACACACAAATAAATGCATATACATATAGTAAATGAATAAATTATTTATATAATACAGACAGTGGCAAAAGATAAACATAATGATCCAGGGGCAGAAAAGTTTATGGAAGTTCCCACTCCATATGTTAGAAATAAATTTTTTTTATTGTCATATATTAAACAAGAAATTTGTTTCTGTTGAGGAAAAAGTTCTATTCCAAATTTTATGCAGTTTTGTTAAACAAACATTTATATTTAAATTAATTATAAAATAATTATTAAAAACAAAAAACGGTTTTCTTAAAAAATTCTTCAACAATCTTCACACAAGTTTTTGACAATCTTTCTCTCTCTCTATCTCTAATTGATCAAAGTTACTGGCAATCTTTCTCTCTCTCTACCTCTACTTGATCAAAGTTACTGACAATCTTTCTCTCTCTCTATCTCTAATTGATCAAAGTTACTAACAATCTTTCTCACTCTATCTCTAAATTATTAAGATACTCTTAGTGCAGCAAGGGAGATGTCGGAAATAATAAAAAACATATATATTAAAAAAAAAAAACAGTTTTCTTAACCAGTTTTTCAACAATTGTCACTGACAATCTTTCAGGCTTTATCTCTAATTGTTCAAAGTTACTGATAATCTTGTTCTCTCTATCTTTAATTGATCAAGGTATTCATAGTGCAGCGAGGGAAATGTCGGAATTAATAAAAAACATATATATATTTGTACTTTACATCAGCTTGAAAAATTAAATCGGTTAAGCAATATCAATATGTCTGTTTCCTAAATAATTTTGTTTTTTACTCCTGAATTGCAATTGACTCTCAGTTTTTCGAATAGACCAATGGACAAGCACCTATTGCATAATCCAATCTAAACACGTCTCTACATTTTTGAAATGTGAAATAAAAATTCAATAGATATAATATTGATTTATACGCTTAAAGAAATTAATCGTTTAAATAATGTTTATATGTCTGTCTGAGAAACTACCCAGCAGCTTATAGTAGCATCGATGCCAAAAGAATCACAATGGTATCGGCTCTTTATTGATACTTTAACCAGCTTTGAGGAATCAATGTTTATAATATTATTTTAATTATCATTTTTAAATAAATATGAAAATAAAATATATACATAGGTATAGTCTTGGCACATATAAATGACTTTTATTTGAATTTGTTGTTTCTTTGTTAATAATTTTGTGGCAACAATAACGATTCTATTATTATATTAAATCGCCACACCTTCATATAATTACATATAAGATTTCATATATTCTTGTCCGGTTATATCCAATTTTTGGATTCGAAAGTAAAATACACTTATAATTGAAATTCTGATCAAATTTCAATATTTTTTTTAATCTTGCCATTATGTGTAAAATTCATCATTAAAATATATTTTCTTAAAGACATCTATTTTTCAATAATAGGTCCTTACAATAATAGGTATTTTTCGATGACTTATCGGCACAAAGCTGACAATAGTCATAAGTTGACATACGTTTGTTTTGAAAGCGTCAAGAGTTGTCTACATAATCGGAAACTTAGAAAAAAGTCTATTAGTGAGAAATTGCATGATCTTGGTTAACAAATCATATCACCAGTGTGTCAGGAAGATTTCTTGCGCAACAAAGGTCAAACAGGGTGTTTTACTTGTCAACTTATTTTTAATATGACATAGAAAAATCCACCGTTGTTGCTCCAACGGTTAGCGACGGTGTCATGGAATTTAGTGATGGCGGTATACAATATAATTTTATATTATTTTTTATATAAATTTTCAATATAACGTATGTATATACAACATATTCTCTTACTATTGTTTATGCAATGTGTTTAACTGCATAAAATAATAAAAAAAAAATAAATTAAGATGGCTTAATTAAAACGCCTTGATCCCTCAAATTTAATTAAGAATCATAGCTTTATAATTATTCTATTATAATTACAATAGAACAAGTGAAGATAACCAATCAAAATAGACGCTGCACATCAATAATAAAATCAATTTTCTCTGATGTGGCCCTTATCACAAAAACACTTCTAACCCAACGTCTGCATTGGCTAAGTTTCGGATTGATTTTTGCATACACTCTCAGTATTTTACTAACTTATAGACATTTCTTTTCGAAGACAAATTCGATATTGTCACTGTTGTTCATATCGTCAGTTAAATATAGATTTTACGTTATAGGTTTAACGCATTTGAGGACTATTCCGTATGCATATGAGCGGAAGCGCAAACCAACTTACTTTTCCACTAATACCTTTAGTTTAATATATATTTCCCAAATTAACTTTAACAAGACTTTGTCTATTTTAATATATAGCAAAATGTTATTCACAAAATAATATAGATTGGCTATCATACCATGAAACCATGAAATGAAATACATAGACTTTCACATAGACTTCAATGTACCGACTTCAGTGATGCAAGCATCTCGGTGAACTTATTACAAATAATGAACTAAATATTTAAAAGAACAAAGTTTAACTTTGACTATTAACTATTATTATTATTGTAATGGGAGAACGGTTTAGTTTTAAAGATTATGAAAATCAAATTTAGTCGATTTTACACAACTCCAACCATAAACACTTATCGACTCTCTGAATCTGTTGATGATGAATATTGTTTTACGTTCGAAATAATTCTTTAGCACAAAAATTATATATAATTAGAACAATGTATAAAAGCAGATCTCTTAAGTTATTAGTGAAAAATGAATAATTAATGAAAATTTTTGCATTAATCGAAAACAAAACCGAAACTATTCGGTAAATCCACTTTCTCTTCCGTAAATATGGATTTACGCTTTCATTTTTCTTCTTAATAAACAAATTACATACAACTTCAATTTCAGTTATTATATATTTAAGATATTGAGATATGAAATTAAGCCTTTGAAATAATAAACAACTTTTACAAACATATTTCAAACTAACTTATTTATATGTGTTTTAATTGCACTCACGTAAAATTTTTAAGTGCATTCCATTTTCGTTGAAGGAAGCTTGCCACTTTAACAATTGATTTTCCATTATTTCGTATTATCCCAATTTTATTCATTCATTTGTATTTTAATTGCATTCAAACAACAAAACTTAATTTACTGGATTATTTCGAGACGTTCTATATTCTTAATTATTACATTATTTATTTTTCACAAAAAATCCAACTTAAAAGGATTTGCACTCACGCAGTGTACCGAGCATTGCAATTCCGTACACAGCGTTGCAAAATTGTCTCCATTTGACAAGGATAATTATTTTAATTGAATTCCTTAAAAGTTTTTATAAACTTCCTCTAATTTTAAAGCTTTCATAAGTATAACTACACATTAAAAACAAAACTACACATTAATTCATAATTTAGATATATCGGAGCTATAAAGCATTCTAAAATTGATATGCTCTCATATGAAATAAGACACAACACACTTCAGTTCCATTTAAATGCAAAACTGTATGCAGCACACATGACCATTCATGACTGTTCATGACAAGTTCGCAAGCTTTAGAGCTTTAAAGCTTCTGGAGCTTAAAAGCGTTACTGGCTTCTTACTGCAGTCGGTAGAAGCATAGAATTTTGAAAACGATTTTGGAAGAGTTGAAACACCATTCATTATACACGACTTTATTTTTTTTTAAATAGAATTTATATTATTGCAATATATTTAGTGCAATCTATTTAGTGCAATCTATTTAGTGCAATGTATTTACTGCAATAGATTTAGTGCACATTATGTACAATGATTTTATACATACACTAAACTCACGTATAATATAGGAACACTTTGTGCTATCAAAGCATATCTTATCTTATATCATATCAAGGAATAAAAATTAACAGAGTTTCAGGAGTGTTGAGACCACAGCAGAAAATTCGAATAGTTGGATTAATATATTTGCCTCTACTCAATTTTAAGTTTTTTTTATAAGTTATAGAGGAGTCTATCTATTCGTACATATTAATATTTATGCACATACACCATATAACGTGTATAGAAACATTTAAATAGAACAGATAAACTTGCAAATTGGTATTTTTATTTTAAAAATATAAAACTAATGGATAATTATGGAAAATTATTTTATTTGTATTATAGTGTACTTTCAAACAGCAAGGCTGTTCAGAACTAACATGACTAAAAGGACTATTATAATTGCAATTGCCTACAGAGACTTTAAACATAAAACGATTTAAGGATTATGAACAACTATGTAAAAATAATTGATGAATAATCACAGAAATTCTGACAAGACACTGTAGGTTAAACTGGGAACTAACACTAGATATTGTAGGGAAGAGAATGAGACCTCAAAACAAATGCTATAGTTTAACTAGCATCTTATATCGGATCATGCTCTGTAATGTGGGTTTAATTATACAGTTTATTCAAGGCTTGAAGAAATACTCTAAGTCGCAAATCAGAACTTTTAGAAAAAATAAAATTAGAAAAACTAAATGTAAACAAACATTTACGAAACGTCTGAAATGTCAAAGAATTCACCGCGAAAAGATGCACACGAAAACTGAAAGTGCAGCTTAAACGCCGTACGCGAAATAATCAAAAGAAAAACACTTTCGCACAGCTAGAAATAATGGCGAGGGTGCTACGCAAAAAGCTCGTCTACTTAGTATTTGAGACGACGTATTTCTAAGGAGGCGTCGAATAAAGGATTACATTTAGGAATAGGATCAGGAAATTTGGACGATTAAAGTTTAAATCAGCAATCATGTTTCCAAAAACTAGTGGAACACCATAGACAGCGAAGCTACCATAATCTTGCCCACATAAGGCAGTAAAAATTTTAAGCCCTTTTTCTTTTGAAACCTCGATA